GTATGAGGAATATTTCATTTCTCAGATTTGCCCATTCTTTTCATCACCCCTTTCTGATGTCCAAAGTTTAATGAAATTACTCATAATAAAGATATTACTAAGGCATAGACTAAATTTTTACAGCCTTTAACATTATTTGTTTACAGAAACAAACTTGAAATTCAGACCCACCTATCACATCCCCTCTTTCACAAATTGTCACTAATTCTCTCTGATGTCTTACATGAAATTTTAATTCACCTAATAATATATAATGTATAATAATGTATAATGCTACATTATTTTCAGTACAATTGTCATTATTTCATCAACAGGTTGAAAGTTGCTATCACCCACTTCACATCGAAAAGTTGAGGGAAATATTTTAAAGCACTTATGCCTTAGTTAAAAAGCCAGTTAAATTTTCTAATAAGAAAAAATACCATAGGTTATTGCTAAAGGTCAGTCATTTTATGTAATTTGTTATTTATTCTTATAAAATTAGCTGAAATGTAAAAATTAGAAACTTATTAAGCTAGATAAGGTTAACCTAGGACAAAACTAATACAAAAATTTCTATACAAGTTATGATCACGAGTAACTAGTGCATGACATCACTCAATATGGTAACTTGAGCTATGCTTTTGCAATGTGATTTAGAGCTTTTACAGAGGCTCATTAGTTAGAGATGGTTTAGAGAGCAATAAAACAACAAAATACAAGCAAAACATCTATTTCATATTACATCTTTTATGATTTTCGTCATTAAAAATTGAACTGATATACGTGAGAGAATTTTAAGTATCATGGACATTACATCTCACAAACAGAAAGCAATCACAGTTAAAGAAACACTATGCTCTGGACCAAGCAGAAGCAGAAATACAGCAGAAGCAACTTGCCTGCAATCATGAGATAAGCAAATCCAAACCAAGATAATACAGTTGTCAACTTATATGCTTCACTACCGAAATCATTGTTGGAGGAGGGTGGCTATAACCCAGAACAAGTTTACAACTGCAAAGAAAGTTGGCTTTGCTTTAAGATGCTACCAGATTGTACTCTTGCCACAAAAACCGACGACCACAAACATGAGCAATTCAAGTAGATGAAAAAAATTCATGCTTTTATTCTGTACCAATAAAATGGGTAAAACCACTGATGACACGAAATCAAATTCTTCACACTGTTTTCACCATGTGAATTTGAAATGACTCCCCTTCAGCTCTTCCAACAGCAAGAACATCTGGACGAAGGCTGCAATCTTTGAGGAATGGTTCCATAAAACTTTGGTCCTTACCATCCGTATACATGTGCATAAGCAATAGCTGGAACTGAAAGCACTCCTTCTGCTGGATAATTGTCCTGCTGATTCCTCAATGGAGAACCTAGTCAGCTGAGAGGGACAAATTCGCCAAAAAACACAACATCAAAAGTACACCCCTTGGATTAGGGTATCATTTCAGTCTTAAAGCAAAACTATAGGAAAATTAATGAAACAGATGATTAATTTCTTCTCCTCAGCTGATGCTTGCCTCAAAACATTATATACAAAAAAAGGTCACTTATCAGGGTGGTAGGACAGCATCAAGAAATGCTGGACGAAAGGCTTTGGTCTCACCTTTCCTATGTCAGCTATTTCTGCTGATCATGATAATGGTGAAGAGTTTGACTTTGAAGGGTTTATAGAAGATATTTTAGAAGCAGTACAATCAATGAAGAATTACACCTGTAGCTACATCACTGACTGGCTTCCAGTTGATAACAAATGCTCAGTTTTTGAACATGTTTCTGACAAAGAAATTGTCCAGAATGTTACACCTTTAAAACCTGAAGCCTGTCATCATCAATGAAGATGATCTATCAAAGCCATTCCTAGCATGCAGTGTGAACATCAACAGAAAGTCAAAAATATAGAAAGAGGAAGGATAGTGTGGGTGAGGGCAACAGGAAGGGGCAAGGTGGCATTTAATATGATTGCATTCTTTGGACCTCAACTACTGTATTATAGCAGGATTCCTTCATATTACTGTTTTTGATAGTTCCAATGATCAATTAACAGAAACTAAAATTAAATCAACTGCTATGAAAACAAATAACTGAAATTAGTATTTCTGATCATTACTGTTTTCAATTATTCCAACAATAGGTTAATTGAAACTACAATTAAATTGATAATCATGAAAATCATCAACTAATCGAAATATTGTCATCATGTTTGTTTGCTGTTAAGCACATAGCTTCATAATGGGCTATCTGTGTTTTGCCCAATTTGAGCCTTAACTTTTTTTCAGCTTTGGAGATTTAGGGTGGGGGCTTATGACTTGAGGGTCTTGGTTGAGGATAGGGTTAACTGAGTGTAATCATTAAACTGATTAACAAATATCACTAATCATCCAGCTCTATTGCTATACAACATAGATGAGGCAAACTTGACGAAAATTCCATTTCTGAACAAAAAAAAAATAAAAAAAAAATTCTGCATAGCACAACAATAGAAAGAAGGAATCTCATTCCTAGAGAAATAAAACACTATATCATGAACCTGTTTATTAGTTTCACTTAATTAGTCACTCTCTGTCTCATAACCCTATTGCCACAGGTATCCTTTACTGTGCATGACACATTCAAAATTTTATTAAAGTATTTTTTATGCTATACCAATTAGAATAGCATAAAATCTTAGCTAATAATCCATATTTTAATAGTCTAGAAGTTTTAAATTCTTAATTTGACAAGGCAATATTAAAAAAATCCTGAATTTCCACTAGTGTGACCCACATGACATTCTCTTAGCATGTCATCATCCCTATTTTATCCACCCCTCAAAAAAGTATGAAATTAATTGCAACTTACTCTATAAAATATTTATTGCTCAGAGAAACCATACTTTTTTTTTATAACCTTCAATTTTGTTTGGTTACAGAGCCATCAATTAGAAAATCAGATCCCTCCTGCCACAACCACCTGTCACATCCTCTCTTTCAGAATTCGTTGATAGTTCTCTCTTAAGTTTCATTATATATTACCTATAACCAACAGAAAGTCAAGATTTTCATCTATCAAATGACGTATTGTATAACGTTGTGTTGTGAACAGATAAGCGTCAGTTTCACTTATAATACATGGTTCATTCCCGTGGGGAAGTTACCTACTAGCTTACAGGAATTTGTAATGGCTCTTGTCGCATAGTTAGAAAGCCAAGAATATTTTGAGAGGTAAGTGAATTTGTCTACTTTTTGCATGTTATTACTCTATATTCTATGATACATTATTTAATTAGATAAAAATTATTAAGTGCATTACTATCTATAGCATAAGAAATTAGGGTTAACTCTCTTTGAAACCCGACAGCAAGAAAACAAAAAAGAAGATTGGTTGAGTATTTTAGTTTTTGTTTTTCATGTTTATTCTTTATGTATAATTATAAAAGTAACTAAAATGTAAAAATAAGGATACTTTTAGGTTTGTTAAAATTAGATTAGGTAAAATAAATAATAGTAATAATATTATGTTAAAAATGTTTCATGAGGCACACACATGAGCAGCTCGTGGGTAATGTAATTCATTAGCCTAACGTGATCTGCAAATTCCCTGAGTGATTTACAACTTATAATGGCATGGATAGTAGTTAGACACGATTCAAAGGGCACTAAAACAATAAATTTTAATTTTAAATAGATGTATACTGTTACGAACTTATAGCTACTTAAGATAAAGGAACGTAGTTTGATGTTATATTTTGAAGTCATTCTAGGAAGAAAAAAAGAGTAACTTAGGTTTCTTTAGATTTTTTTTTTTTCTGGTGGTTACGAGGTCAGTCGAACTGACTGATCCCATTTTGAGATAGGGTAGAGAAAATAATAGATGAACTATAAAATTTTACTGAAAAAAAAATGTCTGAAATGCATTTAGAAGGTTTTAGGATTACACAAAGGAACGTTGAGATTTTTAAGATGAGGAAAAGTATTTTTTAATTTTAATATGAAAATTACTTTGCACATCGACTATTCAAAACAAATACTCAATATATTCATGGACAAATCTATATTTTACTAAAAATATTTCACTATGATTTTTTGTATGTGAAAGACTTATAATATTAACTGAAAGACTGCCAAATTTTGTGAAGATATACACACTATATTGAAAGTTAGAGGTATTAAATCTATAAAGACTTTAAACGAGTACAAAGAGGTCACATGGTCAGTCAAATTGACCGAGTCCATGTTGAAAGCGTTAAACATATTATAGCTTTGAAACAAAATAAACAGTGCATTACCTTCAACACAGTTAGTAGAGAAGAAGGCAATGTTTCTTGTTTCCAGTGGGTTTTCATGAGTCATTTCTGGAGATCTAGTCTGTGGTTCTGACTCTCCAGTCAAAGAAGAATTATCCACTTTAAAGCTTCGACTTACAAGAACCCTTATGTCTGCTGGAATCCTGTCCCCACCTTTCACCTCCACAATGTCTCCAACCACCACCTCCTCAGCAGGTATTGAAAATTTCTGGCCATCACGAACAACAGTTGCATACTAGTCATAAATGAGAAAATTATTTTAAGGTGTTCAGTTATGGTTTATATTGAACTATAAATCATTCTAATTTAAAACAAATCAAATACTTCAAGATACTTCATAAAAAAGTTTAAATTCTTCTGAAGAAATCAACAATATTTAAACATAACCACAATGTATATAGATTTGTCCTACTGTAAGTATACAATAGGAAAAAAATCAAAACAGCACATTATTTCTAGTACTATGTTCTGAATACAGAGTTTATAATCAATGAATGCACACTACCAATCTATATCAAACAAAAGTTTTCAAACAAAATTTTCATCCCGAAGTTTAGTGAATTTAAGTCACCTAATACAAGCCCCTCCACATTTATACAATGTAGCATAAACTGTCTTATTTAGGATAGAGCAAATCTTAAAAACTCATGATTGAAAGGTATCATCACCACCAAAATTGTTCATCCTGTCTTTGTCATGGCAAAGTTATTGAGGCTATTTGTCATTGTCACAGATTTTGAACTTCTGGCTAGAGGAAAGGCAACTAACTCACTGGAAGCAACCATCAACTTTTCCCCCCTTATTCAGTAATATGGGTAACTAACAGGATTTGTAAATTTGACCATAAAAAATAAAATTATATGACTTTATGGATGGGGTTATCCATTTTCCAGCATCCAGTAACTCAAGCAAAATGTTTTATATTTGATTCTATTTATTAACACTTAACTGTACAGTTGAAGTTTCCCAAACTTATAATCCTGTGTAAAATTTATAATAAAACATTTTGATTTCATGACTCAGTCTAACATGCAAAACTAACGGGGTTTTTAAATTTGATCATGGTTATTCATTTTCCAAAAGTCATCAATTACTTTAGAACTCAACCCACTACAAAACTTACAAGACACAATTATCTGCTGAAACCTATTACATATGCTTCACCATTATTAACCCTCTGTGCACTAATGTGAGAAATCTTGTCTTACACATTTTGATAGGATATTTGTTTTTGCAGTTACATCCATGGACAAGTTCTTCAGGAACAGAAAAAGCACAATCTCCAGCCTAACATACGAGTCTTAATTTAATTCCCTCTCCACATGTAGGTCAAAGTGTGCATGTCACAAATTCTACAGAGTTACAATCACAATTTAATTAAACAACTTTGTTATCATTGTATTTCAAAACATAGTTTACAATTCATACTTTAGTATTATATAAGTTTTGATTTTAAATTAAAAAGTAAAAGAGATATTTAAATAAATCCTCAGTCTTCACTTCCATGTGTCAATGGTACATATCTATAACCAACAGAAAGACCATTTTGTGAACTAACTGATTATGTCATCTTTATATTAATTTATTTTTTAAAAAAGAACCATTTTCCACGATGATTTTATTGAGTGATAAGTGAAGTAGGTGTTCTGGCAAGTAATAAAATTTTCTAAACCTTTTTATACATCAGTTAGAAAGCCAGATAAATTATAAATTATAGTAGTTTTGGAGCATTTTGATTTACTGTTTGAATTATTTTCCATGTTTCGAAATGCATATTTTAATGCTATAAATTATGTTCTAGACAACCAAATAAGTGGGAAAAATTTAGGGTTAACAAAGATTGGCTTCTGATAGCAACAAAGGTACATTATGTACACTTTTTTTTTATTTATTGATATAAATCTTTTTAACAAAAGTAACTAAAATCTAAAGATTAAAAACTTGTCAAGTTAGATTACAGCTTGATGAATGCAAGATGATACATAATTAGATGTTGCGCGACATAAAATTTTTACTCAGCTCTTCACACTTCCACTGGGCAATTTATTACTATTTGTAGTGGTTAGACATGGTTCAAAGAGCAATAGAACAATATAATTCAGTAAAAACAGATATAAATCAGGATGAATTGTATTTTTCTGTTATAATAAGCAATCATTCTAGAATGAGAAAAAAGGTAAATAAGCTGCATTTCATTTTTTTTTTTTGTGGTGATCAAACACACACACAAAAAACAACTCAAATGGACCAAGTCCACATAGCATTAGAACATATAAAATAATAGATGAAATATATAAAAAACTTGATATTCATTTGGGAGGTTCTAGAGATTATGCAAATGAAATCTGAATATTGCAAGATTAAAAAAGTATCTTTTTATTCTTAACATGGAAATCACCTTGCATTCAAACTAGTCAGAGTCAGACTGACTAAAGTAAATTTACTAAAAATTATAATTTTTTTGTATACAACATACTTGTAATGTTTACTAAAAGCTTACCCAATTTCATGAAGATACACCAGGTTAATTTGTAATTATAGAAAATATTAATCCTCCAATGTGTTCAGTCCAATGGACCAACCTCATGCACATAGGGTTAATCCATTCATGAAGATACACCAGGTTAATTTGTAATTATAGAAAATATTAATCCTCCAATGTGTTCAGTCCAATGGACCAACCTCATGCACATA